GCCTAGCATGTAAGAGGCCCCGACTTTGATCCCCAGCACTGCATACCAGGTGTGGTGGCTGCCCAGGCTGTAATCCTGGCATTAGTATGTTGAAGGCAGAGGAATCAAAAGTTCAAGGTCATCTGTGGCTACATAGTGAATTCCAGGGCATCATGGGATACATGAAATCATATCTCGATTTTTTTTAATTAAAAAAATGGTTTTTTTTAAAGCATAATAATTGGGTTTGTAGCATATTAGTCAACTTCTCTCACAGGGAGTAAGGCGATGGACTAAACGAGGAACCATGTTTGCCCGTATAATTAATAAATTTACCCATGAATATAGAGTTCTCAGCTAACAAGGCAAGAGAAACCAAAATGAACAGCTTCCTCATGTCCCTTCACTCTTGCTAGTGACAGAAGGAAGAAGTAGCCTTTGCTGTAAAACCCATGGAAGCCAGAATGGCTGGAGAGAAGATGCATCTGGATTGCAGAATAGCTTTACTTGCTCAGACCGAAAACGAAACACCTTAGTCCCTCACCGTGTGGAGCCGAGCCAAACAGAAAGTAAAGCTCGATGAAGTAGCCGTTCCAAAGCTCCAGCCAATTAGATATTTGCAAACAGCGATCTCTTGACTGAGTCAGTTCTCCCTAGCTCAATGGCATGGACCACTGATGACTGTGGGGCCACGTGTCCTTCCTCTAACTAGCCCTACACTGTGACTGAGGTCCCTGAGTGGCAGACAATTGCCATGAGCATCAGACGGCCAGGTAAGAAGACTTGCTCCTTGGCTAAGAATGTTCCTGAAATGGGAAGTGGCTTCTAGAAGCGTTAAGTCAACTATTGGTTGCCTTCAAGGAGTACCATGGGGCTGGATGCACCAGCAGCTTCTGTAGGGGAAAGGGCCAACCAAAGAAACACCCCCTGAGCACAGCCAAAGAAACACACTTTGTCCCTGCAACCAGAACCAAAGAAATGAACCCTGAGCCTGAAGCCAGTGCCAAAGAAACACACTTTGTCCCTGGAATCGGAGCCGGTGAAAGAAATAAACCCTGGCCCTAAAGTTAGAGCCAGAAGGCTAAAAAGGACCAGTGAAAGAAACACACTTTGGCTCTGAAACCAGAGCCAAATCTGACCCTAAACCTGTGCAGAAAACTAACCAATCCCTGAGCAGGAGATCTAGCCAGGGATTGAAATTTGGCCAATCCCCACCCTGGAAATCTCCCTGGAATAACTCCACCCCCTAAGAAGCCCCCTGTATAAACCCTGTGTCTGTTCAGCTTGTGGCTGTCCGGCTGCCTCTATCCACCCTGGCAAAGGTGGCCATGCTCCTGGATCCTTCCCTGAGGTTTCGGTGAAGACCTTCTTTCCCTTGAGCAGAGATGACCCTGGGTGGAACAGTGTGGATCAGGGCTGCAACACCCCCCCACCCTCCCACCCCCACCTCTGGGAAAATTTCCCCTGGCGGAGTGGAGTTGTTAGTTACACTCTTCCTTCAGGAGGACATAACAACTTTGCTGGGAAACCCTCTCCTGCCCGAGCAGAGCTGATACACTGGGGAACCTTTCCCTGAAGCAGCACTGTAAGCTGCTGTGCTTGCTGTGACCCCTGGTATTCCTTGTGCCAGAATACCTTTCCATCCAAGCTGTAACCGTTTGATGTCATATGGTCTTCTCTGAACCGTTCCAGAACCCTGCACCTTGCTTACCCATGCTTGCCACTCCCTCAGCTGGCCTGGAGGGGAAAGTGGGTCCTGCTGGCCATTCTAAAAGGAGCATCCTAGGATGTAGGAGGGGAGCAGTGTGCCAAGACTGTCCAGGATGGGCCTGGGACAGCAAAGACAGCTGCCAACCTGCCAGCATCAGACTCCCGGCCAAGCTCTTGGTTTAATCCTCAAAGTTAGTTACCACCCTCAGCAGTTCACATGGGGGAACATGTTAACGTAAGAGTCCAGATCTCTGGGCTCCAGGCTCAAGGTTCATCTTGTGATGAGCCTTGCATTAAATCCTTGTTTAGAGACCAGGGCCCCTGAAGCTGCAGTGTAAGGCAGACTGAGAAGCAGCCTACTGACTGTTGGATGCAGTGCACCAACCAGAGAGGAAGAAAAGGCAGAGGAAATGGCTGAGACATGAAAGGAGCCACTGAGAAGGATTGCAGCATCAAGATGGATAGAACCCTTCACTGAGGCTGAGGGAATCCCTTCAGTATCAGCTCTGGCCCCATGCCAATCTTGCTCAAGGCAAACTTTTATTTTTTGACCAAGGGGGTCCAGTGCCCAGACAGTAGGTATTTCTGTCAGGTAAGCAAGCTTGGAAGACCCTAATATTTCTAATATTTCCTATTAGAAAATGAGTAATATAGTACACAGTTAGGGGGGATAAGGAAAATTTCCGCTCTGTATATTTCTATAACATTTGCATGTTTGATTCTTCATATGTAGTGATGGGTGACTAGGATGACTGAAGGCCAGGAGGTACACACATGTAATCCCAGTACTTGTGATGTGGCAGCAGGAGGATTGGTCATTTACAGCTTTCCTGTCTCTTCAGCAGGTTCAAAGCCAGCCTGGGCTAGATGAGACCCTATCCTCCCAACCCTAATAGAAAAAGAAAATTTTCCAAGAACAGGGGGTACTCCTGTCTCCAATCTCTCCTGTTCGATTCCCAAAACTACAGTGTGTGTCTCTGTATGAGAACAATCTTTGGTGGGTGTCATAAAGGGTCACTAATTGTTAAAGAGACGTTGCTAATCCTGCCGTGCAGGTTTAATGCTTAGTTTGAGGACTGAAGATGAAAGTGTTGTTCCTCAACTTTGCACATGTTGTTTGGATGTTTAATAAGGGAGGGAGGGAGGAAGGAAGGGAGGGAGGAAGGAAGGGAGGGAGGAAGGAAGGGAGGGAGGAAGTAAATGGTGTGGCTTTGGTTTGCTTTTGTGGTCATGTGATGCGTAGACCTGAGTCACACCCCAGTCTGTGACAGTGACACTGCTTTCTGCATCTTCCAGTTTCGGACGATGGGTGACTGATCCCTTGAGAAGAGGAGGTTGAGATACAGCATGAAAACAAATCACTGCAATGGCTGACGGAAAGAGGAGCAAGGGAGGGTGGGGACAATAAGGTGGCTTCCTAGAGGAGGCGGCCAGAAGCAAGGCCAAGAAGAGGTCAGTGTGGGAAAGGGCCTGGCTCCCCCATGTCCTTTTCCTGAAACAGAGCTGAAGTCCCCACCTCAGCTGTGGCCTGAGCTCTGGGGAGGCCCAACCTACTCCAGCGTTGGACTCTGCCCAGAAATTTCCACAGAAGTGAACTGGCCAAAGCCCAGGCAGGTTGGACTCAGCCCTCCCCACAGCAACAGCCCTTCAGCCAGTCCTTCCTGACACTGCCTGCTCACTCCAAATCCGTGAGTAGCACAGGCTCCTCTCCGGCCTCTGCAGCCCCGCCAGGCAGCAGGCACCCGGTGGCGTCCTTCACCAGCTTTACTCCTTGTGCAAGTGTGTGTCTGGGGACACTCACTTAGCCAGCTGGTGTTTGAATAGAGTAGTATGATACCCCCAAGGCTTAGAGAAGAGCGGGAACTGTAATGGGGGGGGTGAGGGCTCTTATTTCAGGTGAGCTAAAATCTAAAAGCAGCTTCGTTGAAAGGGAATTGTGTTGGGTTTTGAAAGGAAAAGCTCAGTATGAGGATTGGCTTCAGCTATGCGTGGATCCAGGGGCAGGAACTGTGTGTTCAGGATGGATGAGACAGACACTTCATTCACTGGCAAGGACTTTCAGCTGTTGTAGGAAGCGATGGACAGTGCCTGTACCAGGTGCAGACAACATCCCTTCTTTTCATTCCTGGTGACAGAGGGACAGTTCACCTTTTCTCCAGGGATACCCAGAGCTTGTGAGGAGCTGCATCTCAGAGGGCAGGAAGGGCTCTCTCTCCCCCCCTCTCTCCCCCCTCTCTCCCCCCTCTCCCCCTTTCTCTCCCCCTCTCTCTCCCTCTCTCCCTCTCTCTCCCTCTCCCCCTCTCCCTCCCCTCTGTCCCTCCCCCTCTCCCCCTCTCTCCCTCTCTCCCTCTCTCCCCCTCTCTCCCCCCTTTCCCCCTCTCTCTCCCTCTCTCCCCCCTCTCCCCCTCTCTCCCCCTCTCCCCCCTCTCTCCCCCCTCTCTCTTCCCCTCTCTCTCCCCTCTCTCCCTCTCTCTCTCCCCCCTCTCTCTCTCTCTCTCTCCCCTCTCTCCCTCTCTCTCCCTCTCTCTCCCCCTCTCTCCCCCTCTCTCCCCCTCTCTCTCTCTCTCTCTCCCCCCTCTCCCCCCCTCTCTCTCTCTCTCTCTCCCCTCTCTCTCCCCCTCTCTCTCCCCCTCTCTCCCTCTCTCTCTCCCCCTCTCCCCCTCTCTCCACCCTCTTCCCCCCTCTCCCCTCTCTCTCCCCCTCTCTCCCCCCCTCCCCTCTCTCTCCTCCCTCTCTCCCCCCCTCTCCCCTCTCTCTCCTCCCTCTCTCCCCCTCTCCCCCTCTCTCCCCCTCTCTCTCCCTCTCTCTCCCCCTCTTCCCCCCTCTCTCTCCCCCTCTCTCCCCCCCCTCTCTCTCTCTCCCCCTCTCTCTCCCCCTCTCTCCCCCTCTCTCCCTCTCTCTCTCCCCCTCCCCCTCTCCCCCCCCTCTCTCCCTCTCTCTCTCCCCCTCTCCCCCCTCTCTCCACCCTCTTCCCCCCTCTCCCCTCTCTCTCCCCCTCTCTCCCCCCCTCTCCCCTCTCTCTCCTCCCTCTCTCCCCCTCTCCCCCCCCCTCTCCCCTCTCTCTCCTCTCTCTCTCCCCCTCTTCCCCCTCTCTCTCCCCCTCTCTCCCCCCCCCCTCTCTCTCCCCCTCTCTCTCCCCCCTCTCTCCCCCTCTCTCCCTCTCTCTCTCCCCCTCCCCCTCTCTCCCCCCCTCTCTCTCCTCCCTCTCCCCCCTCTCCCCTCTCCCCCCCTCTCTCTTGTCCTCACCTGGCCATCCCTTCACCTTTGGGCCCTCCCTGGCCTCTCTGTCTTTCAGCTGAAAAGCCTGGCACATGGCAGGCGACACACGGAGGCAAAGAGAGCCGGTCTCCCTTGCACCTGTGGCTCATGGCCTGGATAACATGGGGGCTGAGTTCTTGGAAATCATGGTGCGTCCGTCCCCTTCCCCTATAGCTTGGCCACAGCCGGTGGGTGGGAGGGGCCTTGGCCGACCAGCTTCCTTTACTCTCTCCTGCTCACCTCTGCTTGCATAGCGCTGCTCCCAGCACAAAGTTTATCCTTTGTCACCCCTTAACCGTGTCCTGAGTACCTGCTGCGTGCTGCCTTGCCTGTCCTCCCCTGAAAGGTCAGTAAATGTCCCAGGAGGGAAGAACATCTGATCCACAGGAAGAGGAGAGAGGCCGTGATGGGGTGGGCTACCTGAGGGAGCCTCAGCTTTCAAAGAACTTGCAGTCTTGTCTTGGTTCCCCAAAGGCCAAGCGAGGACCACAGCTCCAACTGTGAAGCCTATTATGACACCCTCTGTCCTCCTTCCCTTCCCTAACAAGGGGCCCTATCCTTTACTGAATGCTCTCCCCTCCCCCAAATAATTACATGGACAGTGAGGCAAGAGAGATCCTGGAGTCACATGGTGGGGCGGACCTGCCTGGACCTTCCTTAGGTATCTCCTTCTGGTCGCCAGGAAGCTACTATATCTGTACATAGCAGATGCTCAATGTATGCTTTGCAAAATTTAATTAAGTAGCACCCTCTTTCTCAAGCAAAAGTCCAGTCTCTACCTCAGTCCACTCATGAGGTGCCTGTGTCTTTTCTGTCTCCATGCCCTTCAGCCATGGCTGTCTCCTGGTGGGAAAACTGTCCCTGACTGCTCCCTGTTGGTTTTAGGAGGAAGGCCGGCTTCCACAGGGTAACTCAAGCTTGTCTGAGGGTGGAGGCAGCTGGGACAAAGCCTCGAAGCCCATCTCCAGATGGTAGGTGATCTTAGTGAGGGACTTGGGTCACCAGGAAAAGGATGAATGTCTATCCAAGGGAGGTCAAGGGGAAGAGAGTTTTGCAGACCTTTGCCTCAGGGGATGGCCAGACCCTTACAAGCAGCCAGGATGTCATCCCAGTAGGAAGCCCAATGTGTACACAGGGCTTCTCAGGCCCTGAACTGGCCAGAGGTCAGAGGTCAGATCTCCCTGCAACCTCCCTCATCTGCCTTTACTCCATTCAGTTGTTGAGCCACTTTGGGGACTCCAAGACTAGTTTATAACACTCCTGGCCTGGACCAGACTTCCCACTTTACACAAAGGGGAAGAGACCAATCCACAGGGTCTGGTATGAATGTAGAGGGTCCTGGCTGGTCAAATCCAGCTCTGAGCAGAGCAGGAAGGACAGGGTGTGGTGGGGGTGAGGGTGGGGGTGGGCTTCCTCTAGCTTCTTTCGGGGGACTGGAAAGGATGCCTTGTTCCCTCTGGGTGGGGAGCTCTTGGAATAGCAGCAGATGGTTAAATTTTATGAGCAATGACGTGCTTGGCTAACAGGGCCCTAGAGGAGATTTGAGTAGGAGCCCTTCCAGGGACAGGCTAGTGACCAACTGACCAGAGGACAGGTGTCCATTCTGGACACCCAAGGCAGTGGCTGGGTGGGGGGGAGTGATGGACTGCATACTTTTATATGTCCTGTCTCTTGAGTAGGCAGGCACTGAGGACGGAGACAATAAACATTCTTGTCCCAAGGAACCAGTACAAGGTTGAGAATCTCTACTCTTGCTCACTGGGCAGGTGGAAGTATGAGGAGGCTGGACACCATAGTTGGGCCTCTACCTATGAGTTAGTTCCCTCCATCACTCAGGAGCACCTTGTGGCCTTGCAGAGTGGCCTTAAGTCTCCACATGAGCAGAACCATGGTGTGTGTCCTTTGGACTGTGGTTGCTTTTCAGCCTTGTTGGGTAGCAAGGGCAGCCTGGGTTTATCTCATTACTGCAATGGGAGCACACCTGAGTAGCTTCTACCTGTGGGTTCTGGGGCTCTCCAGTGGGGTGGAAGTTGGGTGCCACTTATGTAGGCTGGTGGTTCTCTCCTCAGGAGGAGTCTGCAGCTCACAGGGCGGGTGAGAAGCCTCTGCAGGGAGCACAAGCAGCTGTTTAGATGGATCCTCACAGGCCTGCTCTGCACCGGTATGTGGGGACCCACCCTGCCCCATTTAAGAGACAGTCACTCCCCCTCTAGTCTCATTTACTCACCCCATCAACCAATATAGTTTGCTGAGTGCCAGCTCAGTCAGCTCAAGATAGGAGCTCAGGTTTCCATCAAGCCTGACTAGATCCCATTCCCAAGTCCTTCCCCAGGAGCAACAAATCACCTGAGAGGATGGTAACCTTTAGCTTTGGTCTTGACCAGATAGGTAGAGGGGAGGGCAATGAGGGCTGAGACCCTCCCATACCCCACCACTCAACGCACAAAGGTCAGAGAGCAAAGATGAAAACAGCAGGGTGTGGGCTTTGATAGTCCAGTGTGGCTGGAGAGTGAAGTTTCCGAAGGGTGCCCAGCCTGAGTCTCCTGAGGCTGGAGGACTCTGAAGGGCCTAGAAATCAGGAACGAGGAGGGTAGTTGAGCTATTCAGGATCTTGAATTTCACTCTGAGGTCCAGAGTTAGGCATGGAAAGATTTAAACTGAGACACGTCCAGATTGACATCACACTGTGAGCCCAAACATGGCTGCAGGAGGGACAATGGGGCTTTGGTTTGAGGATGAAGTAAAGGCAGACTGGGGTGATCTGATGATCAAGGCAGTGACTGGTGCTTGCTGAACCTGAGAAGTGACCGTGTGTGCAGGGTGGAGGAGGTCTCTGGTTAAGGTTGCCCTAGCTTCCTGCTTAGATGACACATACACACACATACACGGCATGACATTCCACAGAGCACAGGTGGAGGAGATGGTCTCCACAGGGAGGGAGAGACTGGAACCATTTGCTAGGGATAGAACGTCTAAACCATGGGCAGAGAAAGTTGTTTGCAAAGTATCTTTGCAGAATGATTTGAGAAATGAGTTAGGGACAGAAATTCTGGGACTAGCAACATGGGAAGAACTTGCAGAAGCCAAGCACTTCAAAGAAGATCAAGAGTATGTCTGCAGAGGGTCAGGGATAAGGGCTGAGCAGTGTCTGCTGATTTAAGGACAGGGAGTAAAGGTGGCTTCAAGGTGGTGGTACATACCTCTAATTCTAATACTTGAAAAGCAGAGGCAGGTAGATCTCTGTGAGTTGGAGGCCAGCCTGACCTACTTAGGGAGTTCTAAGTCAGTCAGAGCTGCATAGTGAGACCCTGCATTAAAAAATGGGAATGGATGAGAGGTTAGACAGGGAGGCAGTAAGTATAGATGACTCTTGGGAGAAATACTTTGTTTGTTTGTTTGCTTGTTTGTTTTTTGAGATAGAGTCTCACTTTGTAGCTTAGGCTGGCCTAAAGCTTACCGTATCATGCAGGCTAGCCTTGAACTCATGGAGATCCCCTTGCCTTAGACTCCTGATTACTGTATTTCTAGGTATGAGATGCCATTCCTTGCTGAGAATAAAAAGGAAATACCAGGGGACAGGGTGTGACCAAAGGTTGAAGATGGCCATTTTTTTTTTTTTTTTTTTTTTTTTTTTTTTTTTTAAGACAGGGTTCTCTGTGTAGCTCTGGATGTCCTAGAACTCTCTGTATGTAGACCGGGCTGGCCTCAAACTCATAGAGATCCGCTGCCTCTGCCTCCCAAGTGCTGGAATTAAAGGTGTGTGCTGCCACCACCCAACTTGGCTGTGTGTTCTTGATGTCTCCCATTTTGGACAAATTTCTGAGCTAAAGACGAAAGAATATGCTGGTGTCTGCAGATTGGGAGGAAAGGCCAGTCCCAATTATACAGTGAATTGGAGGCCATCCTAGGTTACACTAGCCCTTGTCTCCCAATAGCTTGGTCAGGGAGATAGTGGCTCAGTGGCCAAACACACTTGTCACACAGGCCCGAGGACCTGAGTTCTATTCCTAACATGCAGGTAGGTATGTAAGGAGAGAACAGGTTCCCTAAAGTTATCTTCTGACCTCTATACCTGTGTGGTGGTATCATGTCAACCTATGATAAATATCAATTTTTTTTTTTTAATGGTCTGTGGTTGCAGGTTACAGTAGAGTTCTTAACACGTTGGGCAGGTATCATGGCAGGGACTGGATGAGTTCAGGCCCAGGAGGTGGAGTGGGGTTCCTTCTCTTAGAGCAGTGGCTCTCAACCTTCTTCTTAATACAGTTCCTCAGGTTGTGGTCACCTCCTCCCCAACCATAACATTCTTTTGTTGCTACTTCATAACTGTAATTATGCTACTGTTATGATTCATAATGTAAATATCTGATATACAGGGCATTTATGACCCACAGGTTGAGGACCACTGTCTTAAAGGCTTCTAAGAGAGGAGGACAGTTAGGTGCCATGTAGTTAATGAGTAGTCAATAATATGCATCTGTAGTCAGGTTTCCTGGGCAGCAGGGGAAGACAGAAGCAAGCTATCCTCCTTAGCTACTGCAGAGTCACAGCAGGAGGCTAATCAAGTTCCCAGAGGCAAGTAACCTGAGCTTGCTGAACTCTTAGAAATGAGGATTATAGACCCACAGACCTAGTAGGGTTTCTGCCATCTCTTTGACTGCAGCTGTGAGAACAGGGAGAGGAGGAGGCTGTTATAGATGAGCTATGTGCAAGCATGCACCCACACATGCATAAACGTGTGTGGTGTGTTGTGTGTGCACACTCGGGCATGCACACTGGCAATCACGAGAGGGAGGGAGAGGTCATTGATCAACAGGATAGGGTAGAAGGAATCACTGACTCATCCAGCGTGGCCCTCTGGGGACCGAGCATGGCTCAGGCCAGGTACTCTGTTGATGCCCATTATGTCCCTTTGTCTCCCAGGCTCTGTGACCACTTTATAACTTGCAAAGTTCTTTTTCAAACATTTTGCCAGGGCCTCAGACATGCTGGGCAAGGCTCCATCCACCATGTCCCCAGTCCCTTAATAACATTCTGACACAGGGGGCAACTGTTTCACTTCTAGATGAGGAAAGCTAGGCTGGGAGGAACTGAGTGACTTTCCTGCCTGCCCCTAAAGCTCTGGGTTTAGAGCCCTCCAATGACTCCTTCCACAGCGTACATTGCTTTCTTGATCACCGCCTGCCTCCTGGACTTCCAGAGGGCCCTGGCCCTGTTGGTCATCACCTGTGTGGTTCTCAGCTTTCTGGCCTATGATCTGCTGAAGAGGCTTCTGAGGTCCAGGCTGAGGAGGTGTGTGAAGTTTCAAGGCCATTCTCATCTGAACCTCTGGCTGAAAAGGTGAGTGAACCTTCAGCCTCTGACCTCCTAGAGGAAGGTGTCCCACTCTGCTTGTCAACTGGAGCCTTGGGCAAAGGTGCTGGGTGGCTTCAAAAGCATTGGCCAGCTCTGGCGTTTTTTGCCAGTTTTTGTAATGCCACAGGTAACTGAGGGCTAAAGTCAGACTGGTGAGAGTTTTCTACATTCAAGGGCCTGGCCACTAAGCACAGAGGCCTTTCCATGATGTTTTATTAGGTAGATCATCTGGGGCCAGCTTATCAGCCAGCTACAGAGATCACAGACACCTGGGAATTTCCCTGGAGCCCAGTTCAACAGGCTAGGTTGGGCTATGTGCCAACACTTTAAATTAGCCCCCAGGGAATTCTGATATAATTAGCCATGTCCCTGAATAATAGTTTGGTTTTGATCCCTGAAGTCCATGGTAGAAGGAGAATACTAACTCCCTAAAGTTGTTCTTTAACCTCCACATGCATGTACACACACACACACACACACACACACACACACACACACACACACACACACACACCCCAGTAATAAAGAATTTTTAATAAGACATTATTTTAACAGTTCTAGAGCGTAAGAAATGGCTTGGTGGTTTAAACATTACCTCTTGCAGAGGACCCTTGTTTAGTTCCCAGCACCCACACAAGATGGTTTACGACTGTAACTCCAGCTCCAGGGGATTGGCTACTCTGGATTCAGCAGACACTTATACTCACAAGCAGACTCACCTCCCCCACATAATTCAAAATAAAACAAGCCTAAAAAACCACAGAGACACCATAGAGAGAGGAGAAGGAGGTTAGGAAAAAGAGTGCCACTCTTTTCTGTGGCTATAACAGAATACCACAGACAGAGAAGAAAGGTTTACTTGGCTCATGCTTCTGGAGTCTGAGAAGTCCAAGAGGTTGGTGCTGGCATTTTTTTTTTTGGCCTATGCCTAAGCTCATGGCAGCAGAAGGGTAGTTAAGAGCCTGTGTTAGAGAAGAATCAGAAGATCAGAAGAGGCCACCTTGATTTCTACTATCTGCCTGCTACCCACAGTCACTAATCCAGACCTGTGGAGATACAATTCACAAATGTCCCCTTCGATTAACCTGTTTCTGCAAGAGAGGACCGAATTAGCTCTTAAAGGACTATCTATCCAGCACAGAGAGTTACATTTCACCATGAAAAGCCAGACATGGTGCTGAGCACCTGTAATCTCAGCACTTTGGAGACAGAAGCAGGGGGATGGAAAGTTTGAAGCCAGCTAGGGCTATATAAGACTGTCTCAAAAGAAAACAAATTCAACATGAAAACCACACCCAAACCATAGCATCCCTGCCTGGCTCACCTCAAACCCCGTGCTTCTCACATATACAGCATGGCTTCCAGTCTCAACTGTCCAGTCTTTGCTTGGTCAGATATGGGAGAGTCCAGAGTCCAAAGTCTCATCTGAGGGTCAGGGCCAGATCCTCTTAGTGAGCCTGTACATTAAACAGGTGTTTAGAGTAGGGCAGTGGTGGCTCACGCCTTTAATTCCAGTACCCAGGAGGCAGGGGCAGGCAGATCTCTGTGAGTTCGAGGCCAGCCAGCCTGGTCTACAGAGTGAGTTTAGGACAGGCTCCAAAGCAATACAGAGAAACCCTTTCTGGAAAAACAAAAAAAAAAAAAAAAAAAAAAAAAAAAAAAAAAACCCAAAAAACCACCAACAATAAAAAACCAAACAGGCATTTACTTACAAAATACTACAGGTGGGTAGGACACACAGTCCAAAAAGGTGAGTGACACAGGAAGATGGGGCAACAGGACCCAGGCAAGTTTGAAGTCCAAGAAGGCAAGACCATAATATTTTTATCTATCTTGTTGTGTGTGTGTGTGTGTGTGTGTGTGTGTGTGTCTGTGTGTCTGTGTCTATGTGTTTGTGCGTGCACATGAGAGTCATGGGTGGGCATGGATGTGCATGTGTGGAGGTCTGAAGTCAGCTTGGGAATCAGTTCTCTCTTTCCACCATGCAGCAAACTGAGTCATCTCGCCAGTTCAAGACCTTAAATCTTCAGATTCCAGAATCATTTTTCACTCCTCCCTGTGCTGCCTCCTGGACACCCTGGGGGTGGTTGGACAACTCAGCCCTGTGGTTTTCTGGGCTCAGTCTACAGGGCTGTTCCTATAGGTCGGAACTGTACATTAATGCCTGTGACTTTGCCAGGCTGATGTCCTATGTTGCTCATAGATTCACGGCTCTGGATTCTCTAGGATGGTCTTATTTCTGCCACAGGCTTCTATTCCCATACCACCTAGACTGCTCCCAGCATCCTTTGCAGTCTACTGGAAGAAGTCAAGCCCTACAGTTCTTGCATTACCATGTGGACAGCTTGGATTCTTCCAAACACTTATTTGTGCCTTCCACAGTGACAGCATATTAATGGAAATGAGACAGTTGCCCAGAGAGGAAACTCCAGAGAGCTACAGGGTTTCTCTGGCACATCCAGCTGAATTCTGATTGGTGCCTACCTCTGATGAAACTATCCCAAAGAACTACCCAAAAGGATGGGAGACAATTGGGTCTGAAATTGCCAAAAGCCAGAAAGAGAGTCTGTTCCCAACAGTCTGAGTAAAAGACCTATAACACATAGAGCATTGTGTAGAGTATTAGGATCTTTCTCTGGATCCCTAAGGGTGTGTGTATATATGTGTGCCCATGCAAATGTGTATGTTTGTGTGTGTGTGTGTGTGAGTGAGAGAGAGAGAGAGAGAGAGAGAGAGAGAGACTAAGGCTGATGGCTTTTTATCTCTCTCTCCTATAGAGGTCTAGCCTTTGCTGCCATCCTGGGCCTGATCTTGTGGCTATCTCTGGACACCTCTCAGCGGCCAGAACAGCTAGTGTCCTTTGCAGGGATCTGTGTGTTCCTTGTCCTTCTTTTTGCTGGTTCCAAGCATCACCGTGCTGTGAGTGTTCAGTTGACCGCCTAGGCTTGAAGCCAGTGGATGCTCCCTGGGAGCTTGGGCTGGGGTGAGATGGTTGTTCCTATTAGGAGAGCACCTGAGGCTCAGCTGGGGAAGAGCAATGTGCCCTGGGATGAGCTCCCTATGCAACTGTTGAGGGATATATTGGACTGGAGACCCTAAGTGGAAAGTCGTCTGTCTAAGAAGCCCTTGAATTCCCCAATGGACAGGAGGCACTCTGGGAGGACTGCTGATCTCTCTCCAAACTCACAGGCCACTGAGGATATTTTATTTCCTTGGCGACATGTTCCTCAGGTCTGTTGGCCCAGGAACCAGCCCACCCCAGAAAATAGGGGAATTGAGTTTCCAGTTCTGTTGGAGAATCCAAGGGAATTGGGAAATCATTAGCTTACAGTAGTGGTTCTCCACGTCTGCTTCCCAGACCAGGGGCCAGAGCATCTTCTTGGAACGTATTAGAAATGCTAAGCCCGACTCCTCTGGAGCGAGGCTGGCCATCCAGGTGGCTGGCACACAAAGTGCCCTGTCATGAGGGAAGTCCCTGAAGAGATGGGCCCTTCTCTCATTGTCCCCACAGCAGAGTGGCCGTGCCCCAGAATCAGGACCCCTGTGTCCTTCAGCATGGCTGCATGTGTCAGAGGGAGGCATCAAAGAGTCATTCTGTGCTGAGTGGGAAAAACAGCCCCAGAGCTGGGCACTCCTCTGTCACATGGGCCATCAAGAGACCTCAGGGTGCTGAGAGCCATGGAGGATAGATGGTCAGACAGACAGACAGACAGAAATCATAGGCTGAGATGGAGAGGAGCTAGGCCTGGGCAGACTCATGCCCATATCCTAAGGTTATGGTCTGAGAATTGAATGCTATGCCATGCTCGAGACCAGGCAAACTGCACATCAGTCTGTAGAATTCTGTACTTGCCCTGTCTCACTGCTGCCAAGAACCTGGCCTAGTCTTAGTCCCATGTGACTTTTAGCAGCAGGCCCAGTGCTAGGCTAGACCCAGACAACTGCAGGCAGGACGAAGCTCATGGTGTCCTCCTTGTTCCCCTGCTACCACCCTGCACCCGGCTGTGGACCTGTGGACCCCCCAGCCTCTGAGCTCACTAGGAACTTTCTGTTGGCTGCAGGTGTCATGGCGGACTGTGTCCTGGGGCCTTGGGCTGCAGTTTGTGCTTGGCCTCTTTGTCATCAGGACAGAACCAGGATTTGTTGCGTTCCAGTGGCTAGGGGATCAGATCCAGGTGTGTATGTTTGGCCCTGTGTGTGTGGAGTTGGGGAGAGCCCACTTGATTCAGGGGAAGGTAGGTGTGGAGGTCAGAGAGATGGTTTGGAACCAGGAAGACTAGGGACCCATAGCTGGGGTGAGGATGGGGTGCCGGCCAGGAGTTTGCAGAGGCCACCAGCCCAAGGAACCCAGCCATTCTTACCCTTCCAGAGGCTAGGTTTGGTGTTGAGTGGATTCCCAGATGGTGAGGTTCTCAGGGGGGTACAGATGCCAGGTCATGTGACCTGCAGTGGTTTTCCGTGGCTTAGGATGTACATGAATCCAAATCCTAACAACAAAAATTACCCACTTAGCACTTGGATTTAGAAATAATGTTTTTTGAAATATATATATATATATATATATATATATATATATATATATATATGAATGGTAGGTCTCTTTGTGTAGCCTTTGATGGTCTGGATCTCATGTAGATCAGGATGGTGTCACATTCACAAAGATCTGCCTACCTCTGCCTCCCAAGGGCTGGGATTAAAAGCATGTGCCATCATGCCTGGCTTATATCATCTGGTTTTTACTATTCTGAGTTGTTCCTCATAAAAATTCTTGGAGTTGGCCTGGCTTAGCTTATGTGCATGTGTATGCATGTGCATGTGTATGTGTGTCTTCATTGTGTGTAGCTACAAGTGTACATGTATGTAAAGGTCAGAGGACAGTCTTGGGTGTTGTTTCTCGGGCAATGTCTCTTTCTTTTGAGACAGGGCCTCTCACTGGCCTGGAGTTTGCTGAGTAGGATGGCTGTCCAGGTCCCTGAGGTCCCTGTGCCCACTTCCCCACTTCCCCCAACTTCAGTGGTTGCTTGCTTTACTTTTTGAGACAGTCTCACTGTGTAGCCCAGGCTGGCCTTGAACACCTGGCAATCCCCCTGCCTCAGTTTCTCAACTGAGATTACAGGCACGAGCTGCCATTACTAGCTCTTGTAGTTATATGTCTGTTGTGTTTTGAGACTGTCTTGTGTACTTCAGGTTAGCCTCAAACTCACTACGATAAAGTATATGTAACATAAAGTTTACCATTTTCACTCTTACAGGTTTCATTAATTAAACTCTGTCTTTGGAGGCCTCACACAGGGACTATGTGCCAGAGCTGGACATCTTAAGGCAGGAAGGCCCATGGCTGTGGCAGCCTTCTTTCATCTGGGCTGGACCTACTCACTCCATCCTGGGCTTCCAGCCATGGTTCCCCCTCCTCTCCTTCTAACCCCACTACTTGTATTTGTGTCCCCTAGGTCTTCCTGAGCTATACCATGGCCGGCTCCAGCTTTGTCTTCGGGGAGGCTCTAGTCAAGGATGTCTTTGCCTTTCAGGTCAGTTGATTCTTGCTCCAGCAGGGGTTGGCAGCTGCTTCTCAGGTCCCAGCTAAGCTGAGAGGAGTTGAACTTAGGTGATGAGGGTTCCTGTGGGCACAGGCTGGTCCCTAGGATGCTGATGAAGCCAAAGCTCAGGGTGGGGAAGGACTCAACTACCTGTTCATCTGGTGATATTTGGGCTACACTTTGTAAAATGTGCGGAAGCTTGCTATTTCTGCATTGCTTTCCTTAAACACTAATCACAGAACGTCTAGAAGACTGAGGGCAAGAAGTGGGGAGGGGACTGAGAGACAACTCCCAACTCACCGTAGGGTCACTGGCTCCTAAATGTAGGGTCACAGGCCCCTCCGTCACCACCCCTCACAGCCAGGCTCCTCCACAGAAGCCTCCCAACAGCCACAGGCTACAGCTCCCTCCCTCCCCGCTCGCTCTCTCCTCTCCTGCTCTCTCAACATTTTATTGTACATCTACGGTCATGCAGAATGTTATAGGAGGAATTAAGATCAATGTTACCCTTCTGTTTTCAAGACTCTGTTGTCTCGTCTCATGACAGAGCCCAGACAGACCTAGTCCAGAACAGAGTAGCTCATGTTGGGGACACTGCTGACGCGGCCCCACCCTTGCTGTTCTGGATTCTGATTACATTTCTTTCCACTCTGATAACCAGGCTAAGCCTCTGAAATGCCTTGGTTAGTGAGGACTTCACTATAGTTCCCCGTTAGTATAGGCTGCTTTACAGCCAAACTGTCTAGAGACCCTGAAGCTCACGCCAGACTTAGACTGCATTTCCAAAAGCCAGGAAGAGAGAGTGACAGCCTGGTCCCAGGGTTCTGCCTCTGATGTCATACTAACAAGGAAATGAATCATTGTTGCCAGTCTAGACCATAAAATCCATGGAGGGGTTGCACAGACAATGCTGGTAAGTTCTGAAGTTTTTGCCTTTAATTCTTACTCTGGTCATTGTTCCCAGCCTCTCTACTCCATTGGGAATGTTGGACCCAGAGGCTTCTAGCCTCAACTATAGACTTCTGTGATCGTGTAGAACCAAACCAAGAAGTCCAGGCCTTTCTTCTTGCCAGAACCCTGACCTCTTACCAGTTTTCCTTGGGGCTCAGTGTCTGTTGTGCCAGTGACCCTTTGAGGAAGCCCCAGCCTGCCCAAAGAGTTTGAATGATGCCAACATTACAAGGAAAGGGAAGGTCCCAGTTTCCCAGAGTCTGACCCTGGGCAGATTTTCCCCCGGAGATCCATTATGTATACAGATATTGGGAAGGGCAGCCGTGGCCATCCCACAAACTCACCCAAATACATTTCTCTTCATATCTACATAACCAAGTAGGGGGTACCCAAAGTTCCCGGGGACAGAGGTGAAGATCTGCTGCAGGTCACTTTGTGAAGGCATCTCACAAACAGCCCTGACAGCTTCGTAGCTTCAGACAATACATGATTGGCCCTACCTACCTTTGGTGTACGGTTCAAGTGCCTGAGGCAGATGCAGAGCCTGCAGGAGAGCAAGTGTCCCTAGGGATACTGAGTGACTCCCTAAGGATGTGGAGGAGTCCCAGGACTCAGAGGATTGAGAAGTCCTGGAAGCAGACGATGTGGTAGTGTGGTAAAGGCTTGGAGGAAGCTGGGAGGAAGCTGGTGCATCTAAGGGATGGGACCAACTTCAGTTTGAGGCATGAAAATGTCTGGAAGGAAGCTAGAGATTGTCTGTGATTTTAGTGGGGATGTAGTCGAAACTGCTCTTACTTGTGATCCTCCTGAGTTCTAGGATTACAGGCATGTGGCACCATGTGTGCCTGGCAGCTGGGTTTTCTCCACTGAGGAGCCACTGAAGAGTTTTGAGCAATCCTGACTATATCATTGTTTGGTTGGTTAGCATGTCAACAGCAGGTAGGAAAGACACAGGCAGGGTGCTGGTGTGTGCACTGGGAAGGGGCCCAGTGAAGAAGATGCATTGTCGCCTAGGAGTGCCAGCTTAGGGACAACAGACAGTTGTGCATCATTTACCCCTCAGTCTCACAAGTTGCTGCTGCAGTAGCATTTATCATTTGAGGACAAGACTTGGTCTCTTGTTTTGCATCCTTTATTTGGCCTCACAAAGCCATGCACAGGTGCTCTGCTGTTCACTGAATTAATGAAGTAAACAAGTGATGGTTCTGGAGTGGACCTGGGAAGTCCCCCTGGGCCTGCTAGAGAGGTAAGTTGTGCAAGGGCACATCCCAGTGACGCTATGGCCCTGTAGTCATTTTCCAGAACCACCTTTGTTTGTTTTTCCAAACAAGGTTTCTCTGTGTAGCCCTGGCTGTCCTGGAACTCTCTCTGTAGACCGGACTGTCCTCAGACCCACAGAGATCTGTCTGCCTCTGCCTCCCGAGTGCTGGGATAGGTTCTCATGTAGTTCAGGCTGGCCTTGATGTCATCACAGAGCTGAGTATGAACTTAAATTCACCATCTTTCTACCGATACCTGTGAAGTGCTGGGATCACAGGCATGCAACACCATGCCAGATTCAAGGACCCTCCTCTTGAACTCCTGCAGCAAGGCCCAGGGCTTCTTATCCCTCAAGGGCCAATCACAGACTCTTAAGCAATTCAGGGTTATTACAAACCACTTTGTCATACTCAATGCCGGATAGTCAGGTAGGTAGAAGGGAAAAGTTTGGGGGCAGGGAGTGGGACAAAGAGTAGAAAGTCCTAATAACTGCTACAATTACAGAGAGGAGATGTGGCCAGACTTCATTTCAGTCTCATACCAAGCCTTCAGAGAAAAGTCACAGGCCAGTGAGTTAAGATTGGAGCCCCAGCCCAGTGTCCTTTCTTTTTAGTTTCTGTGCCCTGACATTAAGACCCCTTTTCTTGGGTGGCAAGGGGATCTGGGTCTCAGAACATTTGTTCTCCTCCTGGCTTATAAGGGATAGTATTCTTAGGATTGCTAGTTGAGCAGGGCAGAAGCCCGCTTACCCCTAGCTTTCCAGGGAGGAGGGGGCAGGGCTGCTTCTTGGCTCACAAACTAGAAGGGCAGGTGGAGCAGGCAAAGGCCAGAGCCAGGTCCCAGAACAGCTGCAGCCTCACAGCCTCTCTGCTTAGCCTCCAGGGTTAGCTTCACCCCTCACACCATGTTTGCTCCATCTACACCAGATGCTCATTCTTACAGCATATCAGCTAACATGGAATCACTTTTCTCTGCCAGCTGGACACGTCCAGGGTTCTGATTGGGCTGCATTAGATAATATTTCCATGCTTGAACCAGGTGCCCTGTACCTAGCAGCTTGAGCAACTGAGCTCTTGTGTTCTACTCTGCACACTGACTGAATGGAAGCAACCCTTAGAAATGCATCCTTGAGCCAGGCAGTGGTAGCGCACAACTTTGATCTCAGCACTCAAGAGGCAGAGGCAGGTGGATCTCTAAGTTAGATGATAGCCTGGTCAACAGAGTGACAGCCAGGACTACATGGAGAAACCCTCTCTCAAAACACAAAACCAAAACCAAAAGGGAAATGTATCCTTTGGAGTATCTCCCAGGAGAGGCAGGCACTGCTAACCAAGGCAGACAGCTAGCTCCCTGAGGGCCCTGTGATAAGTTTTATTTTCAGAGTCCCCTAATGTTCCAAGCTTGTATTAGGGTTTCGTAAAGGATCAGATAAATGATGACAGATGGCACCCCTGACTGGGAAGAGCAGTGACCGGTACGGCACCTCTTGCTGGCTGTCCTCCATCGTGTTTCACAGCTAACTTTGGGCTACATCTAGGAGTCTGGGCTGTACTTCCTGACCAGTGTTTAATTCTTTTGTTAATGAGCTGTATATACAGGAAGGCAAACTCAAACTGGCTTTGGGGCACAGAAAATATTAATTTCTATGATTGGGACGTACAGGGACTTCAGGTCCTGCTGGACCCAGATGCTCAGCGTGACTCCCAGGATCTATCGGCCTTAGTCTGATCTTGCCTCTGTCCTGGTTCTGATTCCCTGTTTTAGCTATGAGCAGACTGTCTTGAGGTGGTGGCAAATATTTACCAGGCTTGTATCCAACAGGCTTTAGCAACATTAGAAAGGAGGAAGAGGAAAGGTGGGAGAAGGGGTGGAGAGGAGACAGACAGACAGACAGACAGACAGAGACTGACGTTCTCGCTAGTCCCTGCAGAGTGGCTCTAGGCCTGGTTGGCAGCACACATCTGAGCAGGACCTATGCCTGGTTTTCATTGTCACAGGCTGACAGTGAAGAAGGTGGTTATTGATGGACAGGAAAGCCTCTACACAAAGGAAGAAAGGGAAGGGGTTCCAGGCCTGCTAAGCAGCAGCGGCTCCTTGAAGCCCCCACCCTACCCCTGCTCCAGACTGTCAGTGTCCCTGGGATGGCTGCTATGTCCTTTCCTCTCTGGTGGAGGCTGTGTCATCCTTTCTAGAAGATGCATACATCTGCCAAGTGTCTCTCCTCAAGTCACCCTTTAGAACCATTGAAACTCATCTGTCAGTGCTAGGCAGGAGCTCTGTGGCCTTTGACCTCCCCTGTTATTTATGGAGGGTCTAGCCAAGCCCTGGGCCATAATCACCTAGGGAGACAGGGCTGTCCAGGGCTAGACCTGTCACTGGAAGCCCAGTGACAAGAGTCAGCCCCTTCCTCACACTCTGAGGTGACACCAGTAATGGTGTGGGGTTTGTTTGTTTGTTTGTTTTTTTGTTTTGTAAACCCAGAAGCACCCTTAATAACACTGGAGAGGAACTTGTACTAACAAAATACTTGAGGATTCAATATTCAGTTAGGGGAAGAGTATCACATGGCTCATCATTGATCAGCCTCAGCAGTTCAATTTTAGAAATTTCCTGGATCCTGAGAAGTCAGTCCAGCACATAAATTCCTGGTCAGTGTGTTAGCCAATGGCAGCCTTAGCAAAGCCAGGCCACATGCGCGCGCGTGTGTGTGTGTGTGCGCGCGCGCACACACACACACACACACACACACACACACACACACACCTCACACACCTTTCAAC